AACCAGAAGTTATCCGCGTTCCTTCTTTTAATAGATGAGAGAAAAATAATAGAAGAACGAACGTGAACATAGATAGGAATACATGGTATGAATATGAATAAAGAAATATGAGAAAAGAATGGATGGAAGGATATACATATGTAATGTGAAAGCGTGTGTATGTATACGTGTGCATTCTGTGAGTGAAAAATGTGTATGAAAAGTAAGAAAGGAGAGAAGGAAGAAAAAGGGATAGAATAAACGGAAACGATATATTCTAAGCGTCGCGCGTCGTAATAATTAATTAAGGAGGAAAAAATAAAACTTAAAAAAATAATAAATGAAACACACGACTGCACTGAAACGATTCGAACGAACCATGGAAAATAGACTTAACTCTTTTAGGTTTAAATTAATTAATTCGTTTGATTATTAATGAATTATGAAAGGAGAATCTAACGTCATAGGTAAAGAGATAAAAAAATAAAAGATAATATAGAGAGATAATATTGAAATTGAAACAAATTTAGCCAATTAAGGCATAAAATAAACTTCTGCAATGTGGAGAACAAGATGGCGGCGATGAATCCTCAAGTCACATCCGACGATTTCCCGTTCGTTCGAGTCGATCGATAGAGTTAAGCTGTATTTCGTTACTATATCGACAAATAGAAAAACGTCAGAAGAAGCTTGGACCGGATGTTTCGTGCAAATGCAACGGATTCGAAGTCCGGTTATTTCCAAAGATCCGCTAAGAAACGTTCCAGACATTTCTGTTAGTGTAAGCGTAGAGGGAAGAGTATAGGGTTAAAAAAAAAAAAAACGAGAGAGGAAGAAAAAATGTTAAGTAAAAAAAAAAAAAAAGAAAAAAAAAAAAAAAAAAAAAGAAAAAGAAAAAAAAAAAGAAATAGAAATAGGAAATAAACTCGCGAGAAAAACGACTTGACTATAGGACGCGTGTTTGTAGACATGCAGATCCTTACACGCTACAAGCACGCGTTTCAAGAAAATAATTATTCGAAAATAATATATTATCTTGTCGGATAATATATTATTCTACTATATAAAAGATAATTTATTACATTAAATAACGTATATTATTATATAAACAGCGATGAAACGTTGCACCGCGACGATCAGCAATAAAAAGAATTAAGAAGAAAGATAAAATGAAAAAAGAAAAAATAAAAAGATATGGAAGAAATCGTCGAATCATCTGTACTTCGGTTTCCCTCGTGTCGTTTTCGAATCGTGGAACACGTGCGAAAAAAAAGAATATGAATCGCGATAAAAATGAACGAAATATGTGAAAAATACGAAATGAGAGGAAAACAGAGAAATATACGGAAACAGGTGAAAAAGTGCAATGTTTTATTGTTATACCTAATGGTAATTAATTCCACTTGCGCGATGCACGGAACGCGCCACACGAGCAGTTAACTTCGAGAAAAAAAGTCTTCATAATATTTGCATATTGCTTTATTGTTGTACGAACATTGTAACGATTACATTACAATTAAAAGTACGGAAATATTAACCGAGCGATATCCATCTATTCTATTGGCAATTTTAAGACGTGCCTATCAAGTCTGTATAATATTTTACCTATCATATTTAAAGGGCCACGAGGCTTGACCCTTCATTTTTTGACTCACTACTATCAGAAATATCTGCTTTAAGTTTTCAATAAATCAATTTAAATTAAAAGTTTTAAAAATAGTAATATATTAATTTTTAATTAATTTGTGTTTTGTTAAATTCTAATTTATTTAATCTATTTTCTAATTTAATTAATTAAAAAATAATTAACTACAAAATTTTACGTAGAAAAATATTCAAAAATATTTTTTTTAATTTTTTGATTTCATTTAAAAATTTCGAATATAAAATATAAAGCAGAATTTTATTTATATGATTTTTATTTTGTTTTCCTTGGTATTAATATTTTTTTTTCTATTTTTTTTTTTTTTTTTTTCGAATTGGTTAATTTCTTCTTTTTTGCAAATGTTATCTCAATTACATATTATCTCTTCTTAAAAAAAAGAAAAAAAAATAGAAAAAAAAATTTTATAACCAAGAAACACAAAAAAAAAATCAAAAAAAAAAAACTCTGCTTTTTTTTTTTTATTTAAAAATTTTGAAAATAAAAAAAAAAACAAAATTTTTTTTTTATTATTTTTTTTTTGTTTTCCTTGGTATTAATATTTTTTTTTCTATTTTTTTTTCTTTTTTTTAAGAAGAGAAAATATGTAATTGAGATAACATATGAAAAAACGAAGAAATTCAAAAATTCGAAAAAAAAAAAAAAATTTTGTTTTTTTTTTTATTTAAAAATTTTGAAAATAAAAAAAAAAACAAAATTTTTTTTTTATTATTTTTTTTTTGTTTTCCTTGGTATTAATATTTTTTTTTCTATTTTTTTTTTTTTTTTTTTAAGAAGAGATAATATGTAATTGAGATAACATATGAAAAAACGAAGAAATTCAACAATTCGATAAAAGAAATAGAGTCAGGAAAACGATCCTCGTTTCCCTTCATCTCGAATCCTTCTTATATAACTGCACTGGTTATGTCCACGCATTGAACTTTATCGCTTCCCTGTGAAGATACGTCTTAAAATCGTCATTGTGCGATTCTAGCTATTACAGGAAATACGTTTAGATTTATGAAAGCGAAGCATTTTAATTCATAGGAAGAGAAATGTTTTAGTTTTCCTTCTTTTTCTACATTCTTTGTATATTCCCAAATAACCATTTAGAAAGACTAACTAGATGTATAATCATTAACAGGTTAAAAAGAAAAAAAAGAGAGAATTATTACGACTAAATGTTCATTTTACTGTTAATCAACCAGATTTTATTGAATCGAGCGCGGTAATATCAACGACAATCAATTAAATTTGTCGTTGATAATGTAATGATGCGACTCGATTTATTTTTTGTTCGATTTATCTTTTCCTTGTATGCAAAAAAAAAAAATATATATATATATATAAATAATATCAGATATGTATACTGTAAGTAATACCAGATACTTACTATGTATTATTATAAGAAAAATAATTTTAACACGAAATTATAATTCATTTCTATTTGAATTTTTTGAATTATTCAAACAGGAAATTTTGTTACGATTAATTCACGATACAATAGTATCGTAATTCTTGTTTTTTTTCTGTTGTTTTTATTCCATAAAATTTGTTTATCGAATGATGTCGAAGACTGTAATCCATATGAATCGAGTTGCATCGTTTCATGGATATTATTATCTCGTCGTAAAGATAACGTATAGTAAAACCTCGCAAATCTGTCGACGTTGGTGAAGCAATCCAACCGGTTTCTTAGAAACTAGAGAGGCAAAGGATTGCGCCAATAGAGAAGTACAAATTATTAATGGAGAGAAAGAAAAAGAGAGAGAAAGAAATGTGTGTATGTGAGAGAAAGTGTGTGTGTAAAAGAAAGAAAGAGAGAAAGAAAAAAGAACCGTAAAAATGCGAATAAAATCGAGAATGAAATAATGTGACCAATAACGAATGAAATGTAATGTCTGATGTTTAGTTTCATCGCTTTTTATTCATTACCTTTGATTATATTATTGCTTGTAATAATTCATTCGAGATACCTTGAATACAAAAAGTAATAAACAATGTTAGCCTGTCTTCTGTCTTTCTTATCCTTAGAAATTCCTTTCAAACTTTTCAATCTTTAAAAATTCTTTATCTATCTTTTCACTTCTTTTATCTTTTTTTTCAATTGTAAAGACAATTTTTTTTTCTTAATTCTTAATTTTCAAAGTAATTAGATAATCATATTTTTAAATAATTCCACTAATTTGATATTTGATATGATATTCTATTTAAAATTATAACTGTAATTAGAATTAATAATACAAAATTTTAAATATAGTATCATAATTATGAACATGAAAATATAAAATTAAAAATAAAAATTCAATATTGTGTTTATTTTTTAATACCTTTAAATATTTTTATATTTCATATTTTCCTAATTTTTTTTTCAATTTATGGATTTATATATGTATATGAGTTTTCAATTATAACTACAATAATTTGACTTCATAAAATTTTTTATAATTTAATATCACATTTTATTATTTTCTATGTCATATAATGACACGAAATGTAAATTAAATCAATAGCAAAAGAAAAATTTGTTCTCATCCGAATTGTTGTGAAAAACAGCTGTACATAAATAGGTTAGGTTAGAGTCAAATTAACATGCAGAAACTATAGTTCTCGTGCTTATAGTCATGAGAATAAAGTGCCATATTGCAATGATAAGAACGATTTCTCCACACCCTGATATAAGACTCTTGAATTATTATTTAATGTAAACAAACGGTTGATCGTGCAAAAGAGTAAAATGGCTGTTAGTTCGCTTGTCAATCTGGCAGAACACTGACAATAATGTGAGAAGTGGATATCATTGTACGCCCACATGCTTATTGAAAGCCGATAAGAACGTACTGAATTTCTTGTTAAGTTCTACTGCATGTGCCGTATATCATCCACGATGAGTATTTTGAGAAGAAGGTAATAATATAACAAGAATTAGTTAATTTAAAAATTTTCAGTTGAAAAATTTTCTTTTTTTTTCTTTCTTTAGATTAAATGAATTTGATGATATTTTGAATGCTGAAGAAATAGATCTCATCAGTCTCAAACGACTATGCTTCCATGGTATGTATCTTATATATATATATATATATATGTGTGTATATATATGTATACATATATATACATATATATATATTAATTTTCTTTGTTTGCTGTATCAACTATATAATTTCTGTTACTCTAAATATTATAAAATTATAAGAATTAAAATTTCTATTCTTTTCTTTTTATTTTACATTATATCTTATTATCAATTAATAATATTATCAATTAATAAAGATTGTTTGATAAATGATAATTATTTATAGGAATACCAGATGAAGGAGGTTTAAGACCTTTATGTTGGAAACTTTTATTAAATTATTTACCTTCAACAAGACTCAGTTGGTCAGAAACACTTACACGTAAAAGAACACTTTATAAAACCTTTATTGGTACAGTTTAGTTTATTCAGAACTCTAAGGAATGTAACTAAAAAATTAATTATTAATAAAAATGATTTACAGAGGATCTCATTGTCACTCCAGGTGAAGCAAATAGTGATGGTGAACGTGTAGATGTTACACTTCATGATCATCCTTTAAACTTAAATCCTGATAGTAAATGGCAAACCTATTTTAAGGATAATGAAGTTCTTCTACAAATAGACAAAGATGTTAGGTAAATTTATTATTATATTCAATAATAATTTCCTTTTTTTAGGAATTTGAAATAAATTATATTTATAGGAGATTATGCCCAGACATATCATTTTTTCAACAAGGTACGGATTATCCTCGAGAAGAGATTGTAAATGCTAGTGGACAAAAACGTTTACATTCTAGAGTACAACATACAGTTTTAAGAAGTGCAAATGTTGAAAGAAAGGGACTTGGTGTTACTAAGGTAATTATAATTGATAATAAATAATGGATGTTACTAATATTCTTATATTTTTACATTCTTATGCTGATGGAAAGTAGCAGGTAACGTCGTTTAACTATTTCAACTTGTTATCTTAGATTAGTATAATCAAACAATTTTTTTATGTTTATCTTTAGATAGCAGTTTCTATCAGAAAAGCTGCAGAAGATTATGCACCACTTGCAGAAGGTGGTGAAGCACATTGGGAAGTTTTAGAAAGAATACTTTTTCTTTATGCTAAATTAAATCCAGGACAGGGCTATGTGCAAGGCATGAATGAAATTGTTGGTCCTATTTATCATGCATTTGCTTGTGATCCAGATCAAAAATGGAGAGGTAAATATTTTTTATAAAAAAATGTATTTTTAGAATGTTTATATTAAATTTTAATTATTTTATAAATATTTTATTATATAAATATTTTTTGTAGAACATGCAGAAGCAGATACTTTTTTTTGCTTTACGAATTTGATGAGTGAAATTCGTGATTTTTTCATAAAATCGTTAGATGAAGCCGAATTTGGAATAAATTCGATGATGAGTAAACTTACAGCTCAAGTTAAAGCTAATGACCCTGAAATTTGGATGCGTTTACATCAACAAGAATTATGTCCACAATATTATAGTTTTAGGTAAATTAAGTTAATTAATATTATTTTTTTATGAAAAAGAGATTAATATTTATATAAATAAAAATATTTCTAGATGGTTAACACTTCTTTTATCACAAGAATTTCCATTACCTGATGTTATGAGGATTTGGGATTCTCTTTTTGCTGATGAAAACAGATTCAGCTTTTTGATACATATTTGTTGTGCCATGATTTTGTAAATATTGCTTATTATATTAAATATATATAAATATAATTTATAATTTAATTATATTAAACTTTTCAGACTCTTAAGGGACCAATTACTTGCTGGTGATTTCGCTACAAATGTTAAACTTTTACAAGTAAGTAAAAGTAAGTAAAAGTAAGTAAAAATTTTTTGATGTCACAAAATCAAATTTTTATTTCAGAATTTTCCTTCAACGGATATTCAAATAGTACTTTCTAAGGCAGCTGCATTGGCAGGCAAAAGTTTGAATTCACCATAATTCTACATAATTTTTCATGTACAGCTTCGTTCGACTCAAAAACATAAACGAAACGTCTGAAACATCTTTTAAAGGTATATATTCTTCATGTTGTTATTTCCTTTATTTCTTATTTTTCTCTTTGTTCTTATTTTTACAATAGAAATTATGATCTTACACATAGGCCTGAATATTCTTCCGCGAACGCGAAGATTATTAGAACTAAAAATTGTTCTAAATAGTTCGGACAGAAATATATGTATCATATATATTGTAACATGATATTGTGTGTAAAAACTGTTAAAAAGTAAAATGATTTTACACAATGTTTTATATTCCCGAGATATAAAATTTCTCCAAATTTCTCTTGTATATTGGAGACCGGGATTAATAAGATATGAATTTAGCTCTCTGTTTCTTTATTTACAACAAGAAAAAAATCTCAACCCTTAACGAAAAAAATAAGTTCTAAATATAATGATTTCTGTTATTTTCACTATATTTAATTATAAATTATTAATAGAACTTATATTCGTAAATATTTTTTTTTGTATTTTTATTTTTAATTTTTTTTAAAAACTTATAAAAAAATAAAAATTTATTATTTATTATATGATTATATGATGTTTCATCGATTATTTCAATTTTGTTTAAATTTGAATATAGTATACATATAAAAATAAAATAGAAATTAAAAGAAAAGTGCCAATTTATCTTAAAAAATGAAAATTTAAATTTGAAAATATTTTTGTTAAGGGTTAAGAAAAATATATATAACTGTGCTGTGAATAAAAAATTCAGCCATATTAAAAATTTAAATCTTGTTATGTCCAAAAAAACGAATATTTGGATATTAAGAAAAAAAAATGTGTTTGTAAGTTGATATTTTGATAAGTTGATAATAATTTCTTAACGAACGAAGTATGAAAGATAGTCCATTAATTACTAAATGAAAAAAAGAAAAAAAAAAGAAAAAAAAAAAAAAAGAAAGAAAAAATGTGTGAATGCGTTTGTAATAGTTGCTGACTCGATACGAATTTTGTAATAATTAAATCATATTAGATTATTATTGTTGTATTGCACAATAGTGCATTTAAGTAAAACATTATATTTTGTAATCTTATTTTTATAATGATCTGCGTCATTCATTCTGCGTTTATAAAATAAAAAAAAAGTTATATTTGCATAAATGATTTATTCTTTAAACTTTTTGATTTTTTATAACTTTAAAAATATATCTCAATATATGTTGATATATTAATATATATTTTTATATATTATATTATCCTATATATATTTTTATATTTTTATATATTCTATTTATATATTAAATATATAATTAATATATAATTATATTATTATGTGTTATATATATATTTTATATTGTATGATATAATATATATAAAATATGATATATTTTAAATATATTATATTTATATGATGTTAGAAATATAATTCTAAGTTTACATCGGTTTTATGCTAATAGCCATAATAATAATAATAAAATTGTATTTAGAAAAAAATTTAAATATTTCATTTTAAATTTCCTTTATCAAACAAATTTTTAAAAGTTTTTTTCACTATTAATAGTTAAAAAAGTAATACTATAAAAACTTAAAATTATGAATTGAATATAAATTATAACATAAACGAAGTATTTTATATGTATTCGATTAATATCTCGTACTTCGTCTATGATTATACGCCAAAAGCAAATATAAATAAAATAGTGAAAGAAAATTCTTATATCTTTTCTGTGACGAAATTACTAAATATATTTTTTATATCTAATTTATGGAAATATTTTTTATATCTAATTTATGATTTTATATATTTTCATATATATTTTATTTGTAAATTAATTTTTTAAAATCTGAGGTCAAATTATGATTTTTTAATTTATAAAAATGTAATAAAAAAGTTTATTTATAAATAAATTATAATATAAATATTAAAAATATTTCAAAATCATAGAATTTCATTATATGAAAATATATTAGCATATTTAAAGTAAATCTTCCATTATAACTTTGCGACGAACGGCATTGCTAAAACCTTCTTTATATTTAAACCATACATCATTTTTTGATAGAAAAGTTTGCGAACTAATAGTTTCTTTATCATATTTATTTTGTTTATCTTGATTTACTGTAATAACTCTTCCAAAAAAATCTTTATATTTCTGCAATTTTTATTATTTTTGATAGTCATATTAAAAAAGAATAGAAAAAAATAAAAATATAAAAAATATTATACTTACGATTTCTTTTGTTTGAATTTCTTTAGATTCTATGCTAATTATATTATTACGTGTTTTAGCAACGAGATCTTCCCTTGAATCTTCATTTGTTGTTGTATTTTCTTTTACAGCATTCTCATTTTTATTTTGTGTAACATTTTTTATTGCATTTGCTGCTCGTCGTAATCGTTCGGCTTCTAATTCTTGAACAAGTATTTGTTTTACTGGATATGTAAGTGTTCGATGATATTTACAATCCGGAAAAATACTTATTTCAAATATATTACTGAAAGAATTAATATATATATAAATTTTATTTAAAATTTTATTTAATTTTAACAAATATTATTTTCTTACGGATCTAATTTATAGTCATAAGTTCCATCAAGTTTTTTTTCTTGAGTAAATGTAAGACCAAAATTAATTAAAATATTAACTATGCGATTAATGTCTTCTTTTTCTTTCATTGAATGTAAATGTCCGGAAACTGTTCGCAATCGTGAAGATAACAAGTCCGGAAAAAAAGGAGCTATATCGATTGTTAAAATTATACTGTTACGACCACTACTTCTTTGAACAGTAGATAAAATTCCAATATTTCTGGCATGTTTCTGATTCATCTGTAAGAAAGAAATTTTTTTATTAAATTTATAATTTTAAATTATTTCATATTTCTGTTTTCTATTTTCACATAATTCTTACTTCATATAAAATAGAAGGATAAAATAATTTAGCATTTCTTGATTTAGCAAAATATAAATGCCATGTAACAAACGCGTAATTTAGGTAAGGCATAACAGACCAAACCTGAAGATTTGCAACAAGAGATAAAATTTCATCAAAAAATTGAAACCATTGTAAACATAGTGCTATATAATATAATTTATTATTACAAATTTCTGGATAATTATGAAATATACCTTGAGCTAATTTTTCTAATTCTCCTATAACAAAAAATAAATATTATTAATATAATTTTAAGTTTTATATATATAAATATTGAATATCATTTAATACCGTTTTGTACAATGTTTAATACAAGTCGAATTCTTTCTGAAATGGAAAGTATTCCACTTCTATTCATAGGTATTGTCAATATTTGTTTCCATGAATCAAACAATCCTTTTCTACTATCCTTTAATGCAAAAGATAGATTATCTTTTGAATGAATACCACCCATATACTGAAGTGCTCCCAAACATGATCTGATATCACAACCAGATATTTCCACTAAAGTCAAAAGTGCATCAGGATTTACTTTCAAATTTTCCTTTTGTGATATTTCCATTAATCTGTCTGCCAGTCTTGTAGAACTTACTTCTGGTACTGATATAATAAGTGCAACAGTCCTAAGAGCTCTATAAAATAAATTCAATATATTTATGTTCACGATTTTTTTTTTACATATAAATAAATCATATAACTGAGTTAAATAAAATATTTACCTTAAAGAAGGAGTATATGGTTCATTACATATGCATATTACAGGACGATGACAAATATTTGAAGATTTATCAGTATTCGTTTTATCTTTTTTGCCTTTTGGAATTAATTTACCTTGTATGAATTTAAGAAGAAGATCAATAGATGCAGCTGGTGCCCCATCAATTTCATCTAAAACTAAACAATTTGGTCGAGGATCATTTCCCATTACTGCTTTCATTTGTGTTGATGCAAGGAGAATTTGTCTATATTTAACAATACATAATTGTATAATATCTTATTTTAGTTAAAGATATCAATTTTATTTATATACTTATTTTATTACCTATTTATTTATTTTATTACCTAAATGTATCTGGACTTCTTTCATCACTTGCATTAATTTCTATTACATTATAACCAGCATGTTTAGCTGCTAAATGTGCTAATGTAGTTTTACCTAACCCAGGTGGTCCACTAAGTAGTACAATTCTTTGAATTGGAAAACCTTTATTATCTACTTCCTTAAAAACTTTTTCATCTACAAACTTTTTATTTCTAAAACGATTAAGTGTAGAATTTAATTTCTTTCTTTTCTGAATATAATTTCTGTTGAATACTATTTTATCCCAAAGTTTTAGCCAATGTAATAAGTCTCTATTCACACTTTCATCTGAAAGTAATTCTATATAAGATCTAGGTCTATATTTATCAACCCATAATTCATCATCTTGAGCAATGTTTGTATTAGGAAGGTAAGAAATTTCATGACTGGCACGCATAGCATTCTGTACCATCTGCAATAAGACTTTAAATTCTTAAAATATTTATTAAAAACATAATAATTAATTTAAAAATTATATAATATATATCTTTAAATCTTACAATTTCTTCAGCTTCAGCTTTAATTTGGCTAAATGGCACTGATAATAAATTAGAAATTGAATGTACATTTCTTTTTATCTCACATTGTTCATTACTTTTAACTCTTATATATATACGTTGTGCATCACATGGTCTAGTTACAGCCACAAAATTCCAACGTGGGACTCTTAATGATATTGATTCTCTTTTGCTAAATAAAATCAGTAAACTATTAATATAAATTATTTATTGCTTTTAAATATAAAGTTTAGCATATTTTTTCTTAACATACTTTTCAACATGTTTTCTATTAACAGAAACTCCTCTATTATATTCATTGAATTTTTGTCTAGCATCTAATACTGCTTTAATAACTTCTTGAGGTTGATCCCATCGTGGTTTTTTATCTTTTGGTTCCTGAATATCAACTATAAGTTAAATAATATTATTTATTATTTTGCATATTTTAAAATGTAAATATAAATATTGCATATTATAAATATAAAAAAATCATACCAAAATTATTTATATCTAACATATCTGAAATATCACCAAATAATTCATCATAATTTCTTTTTTTTGTAGTATCTATATCAAAATTATCATTATATTCAATAGCTTTACTAGTGCTAGCAATTGCTACTTCATTATATTTGCTAGAGATAGGAATATTCAATTCTTTATATACATTAGGTATAGATGTATTTAATTTATTTTTTTCTTTTTGTTTTTTTTCCAAATTTTCAATTTTTACATTGTTTTTTTTTTCAAATTCTAAAAAAAAATAATTCAAATTTGTAATTCAAATTTATAATTTATTTCGCGAGTTAATTATAAAATATCAATAACAAACAACAAATAACAAAAAATTTATTATAAATTATAAAATAATAAAACAAAATTATAAAATAATAAAACAATTATTAAAACAATATATTAATTTAATAAAAAATTTTTTAATCATTTACACAAGTTTATAAAGAATCATAAAAAGGTTATACCTTCAATTTCTTTTAAAACTTCATATTCATTCTCATGAATTAAATCAAATTCTTCATCAGGATCAGGAAATTCAGAATCCATAATGTATATATTTTAAAATCTCTACAAATATTTTAATTATTATATTAGATATAATATTAAAATTTTAAAGTTAATCTTATTCAAGCTACGTTTTAATTAGATCTTTGTATTAGATCAACTGACAAAATTGTTGTGCACATAATTAGCCAATACATATTAAACAAAGAAAATTTTAATAACAATTCTAAATAATTCTAATAATTATGTCCAAATAATACGTGACATGCAACGTATTTATCAATTGCACTCTTTGAAATAGAAAGTGTTTTTTTTTACGATATTGTACATGATGTTGTGAGAAAAATGTATAATTTTGTTGAATTGTTGACTTTTGGAATATAAAAAGGATTGGTCATATATGGATATTATTCCATTATCACATTACTAATCGACATTAACCATCAGTTATATTACTTGTCGTTATATCCAATAAGAACATAAGATTATATATTATTATTGTAACGGTTTTTATGGTATATAAAAATACGCGGGAAAAAATATATTTTTTCCCGCGCATTTTTTCGCGGTAATTTTAAATTATATTATAATGCATAAACAAATAATTAAAATAAATAAAAATAAATATTACTTATATTAATATATATTTAAGATATATTTATTTCATTAATCAATGAATCATTAAATTGATATGAATTAAAATTGATATGAATTAAAATTAAATAATTCAATCATTTATTGAATAAAAATATTAATTAATATAGACATTAAAATAAAAGACTAGAATAAAAGACTAGTTAAAATAATTTTTATAGAGTTGTAAGTCTTTGTGTATCATTTATTGTCGTTTCGCCAAGTATGTATTCTGCATTCAGAATAAACAGTTGTTTCAGAGATGATGCTTTGAATAACAAAGGCGATTTCTAGTATGTTAGGCAAATTCAATTACACGTCAGTAACATTGGAATTTTTCGTAAATTTTCGTAATATACTTTTTCAAACATAATCATTTGTATCTTAATAAACAAATTATATAAAATGTAATCATAAATGTAGATTTATTGCCGAATAAAAAAAAATAAATTAGATATTTTTGTTGAAAAAGAAGATATAAATATAAAAATTTTTTAATAAATATTATTTTTGTAATATTTTAAGTATATTTTTTTGCTAGATATATTTATATAGTTTTGTTTTAGCTATATGTATATTTTCGGTACATGTAAGTATACGTTACGTCAGTCTATGCCGTGGCATTGTAGAAGTAAGGTAGATTTTTGTTCGTTATTCGTTATCAGAAATAATATGTACGTATAATGTGAATCATTGTTGTTTCTAAGTGTTGTGCGTAGTTATAATATACAAAATACGAATTTAATAAAATTAGGTAATAATTATTTTAATTTTGTAAATTCAAGTTTTTAATTGCTTGAGAGTGAAGTATCTGTGATATATTAACTTTTAAGAAATGTTAGTTTACAAATAAATGAAATACAATTAGTATAAAGTGTTTATACAATTAGTAAAAAGTGTTTCAAAAAAGAAATGAAAAATTTGGTTATGAAAGGTTATAATTCATAGCTTATGAATATCGGTTAAAACTTTATTCGTTTTCTATTTTATTCTTTGAAACAAGTAATCCTTGCGATTAAGACAATCAGCCACTGTAAATCCGGTTTCGTTGAAATTGCGATCAATACTTTTCTGTTTGAATCTCCTAAGCAATATTATTCTCGACCAAGTTTATATATCTATATGTAACTATTATGTTCACGTGGTTTTCGAGAAGTGAAAATTAAACTAATAATTAATTTCCTAATATCGTTATATAAGTACTAAATATATATGATAATAAACATTCAAAAATTTGTAACGGTTGACCGAATTGAAACTATAAAATTGTTCAAACCGATATTATTTATGAATTACAATTATTTATTGTAAAAATATAAATTAGTTAAAAATAATACGTAGTTATAGTCTATTATTTTCAATTTTCTTTCTAGTCTTCTTTAAAAATTTCTTAATATATTTAATATATGATAGCTATATATGACGTCAGTTTAGATAAGAATATAGATTTGTGGTTTATCGTTATGTCTTCGGCAAAATGTACAATTTTGTTTATTATGTTATTTATAGTATTGAATCAAATTAATACAATTATTATTATAATACAATTAATTAATAAATTATCTAATTACGAATTGGAAACATTCACATAATTTGTATATTAAAAGAATTGTTATATTTTATTAACAATTTTATTTTTATTTTTTATAAATCACATTCTCAATTTAATTATATATTTTAGAAAGTTTAATATAAAATATTTTTCATATTCACAAGCATATAAAGATAATTTGAACTATTATATATATAAATTATATAATGAATATTTCAATTATTCCGAACTACATATGGATCAATCGTAAAAAAAACATGTTTAATCATTTCTAACGAAAAAGTAGGTACATCTGTGGAACAAAATATGCAGACTTCTTTATCGAAACGAACAATCGGTTGCATCGGGAAGTGTACTTCTGGTCTTAGTATTGATGAATTAGATCAGATTACAGATAATATAAATAAAACGTTGAATCATCCACGTGGAAGAGAAATTTTTAAAAAGTTTTTGGAACAATATGATCTCAGAGACAATCTTGAGTGTTTGGCGCTATTCGAAATATGTTTTGAGATTATCGAACGTGAACAAAAGTTTCTGTAAGTAATTATTAATTTTCTTTTAATAATAATAATCGTAATTTTTTATAAAATACATATTATTATTTTTTGAAATTATTTTTCTTAGTTTTTTTCGAATAAATATATTTTTTAATATACTTTTAAAATGTTACCTTCAGAGAGAAGGAAACTTTTCTTAGTTGATAAAACAGTTAGTCGATAAATAAAAAAATCGATTTTTAGACAATCGAAGAAGGAATCCTCGTTGGAATCGTTAATCGAAAATGTCAAACAAGTACAAGAAATGGCTATAGATTTGGATGGAGTATCGCAAATAGATCGTGCACTTTTGGAACGTTTCAACGAAGCTTTAAATAGCAATTCAAGGAATTCTTTACTTAGTATATTAGCGGATACCAGAAATTGTTGTCGAGACCATTTGAGAAGTATTCATGAAAAGTTCAAACAGTACGCATCAGAACCGTGTCCAATATCTAGATAATGAATATTTTTTTTACATTTTCGTTTACAACTTCGTTTGTTATTTTTTGTTCTATTAATAATTTATAATATTTCTTGAATTGTAAAAATTAATGTGTTAAATACGTTTTATGTAATAATATAAGTCTGTGATGATCGATATAGGATATATATATATTTTCTGTGCATTTTTACTTGTTAGTAAAATTAAGATACAATTATAATGTAATTATTTAAATTTAATAAAAATTTATTAAATTTGTATTAAAATAATTTAATAAAAAAAAAGAAATTATAGAATTTGATGATTATTATGATAATTTCTAATAATTGAAAGTTTATCTCGAAAATAACAGTAAATACACGATATTCATGTCGATGTTCAATTAATTCGTGTTACATTAAACAATAATTTAAAAAAACATATGGACGGTTCTCGTATACAAAAAATAATTCCATTAGAGGGATATATTATAAAAATACATAATATTCTCGATACTATGAAATCTTTGGAGGAAAGTCTCATGATTACACGTAATTTAGAAACGGAACAATGGTTACGATATTCAAATTTGAAAACGAAAAATAAAATAATAATAGATGATCTTCGAAAAGCGAATAAACGCAATAAAAATATGCTCAGTATGTAAGAATATTTAAATTATAAAAAGTGATGTGGTGAATAGTAATAAATAATTAAAATAACGATTATAATATAAATAACATAACATTTTTAGATTTATTTCGACAGAGTGTTACGGATATTCGTCTTGGAAACGACATTGTACTGCCAGAATCTCTGAAGAAGGAAGTGCAAAGAACATGGCATCAAAAGTATTCTTAATTAGTATATATTTGCAAATTAATGTACCGTTAAAAAGACAGTGATGTTGAACTCTCTAGATATGATGCTTTATTAATGCAGAACGAACAATTAAAACAAGAACTCAATTCTCAGAATTCTTTTCTTAAAGAAAAAACATACGAGGTAATCTTTAATACATTTTAAAAAATTTTATAATTTTTTTTATATCAATTTTTTATAATTATTAAAATTGACCAATTAAAATAGATCAATAATCTTCAACAAAGATTATTAACACTTGGTGAAAGACTTGTCGAACGAAACGAAGCTGTAGAAAATATTTGTAAAAAGTACTTGTTCTTGAAAAAAAGGAAGGATGAACAAGAAATTTTGTTACGTGGCTCTATCAAAACGTTGCAGGTTAAATAATTGAAAGAATAAATATTAAATAGAAAATATTCATTTATAACTGCAGAATAATTATATATTAGGATGCATTGAAAAAAGCAAGAAATGAAGGTTTGAAAAAAAATTCTGAAATATCTATGATGCTTAACAAAGATGCATTATTAGCTCGAGAAACTCGACGTAATGATCGTTTGGCTCGTGAAAATTCTTTTTTAAGAATTCTTCTTCAGAAAGCTAGACATGGATGCAAAACAAGTGAAAATAGCAGCACTATTTCTTTCGAGTAATTGACTTTATTTAAGATGTAAGTTTTATTCATTTAATACGATTAAAAAAAGAAAGAAACTTCATGTTTCAATCTTAGGAAAATAAGACCAGTAAAACCATATAGTTGCAGAATTTTAGCCGGTTAAGAAGAAGATCGTATAAGTCATGTCTGCCGATACAAGGACAATGTTTAAGAATATCAGAATTATGCAACTAAAGGTAATAACCGGATAAAAGAGTTATGTTAAATCAAGTTAACGACGATCGATGGCAAGTGCTTCCCTATAAAAGCAACGATTCTATTCAGACTAGTCTTACTTGGTGCTGACCAGCACTAAGAAAATTCAGGATAATTTGATCGTTATTAATCATCATGTAAGTTAATTTCTCATAAATAATTACATTAATAAATATTTATTTGACAATTCGTTTTTCAATTCGTTTATTTTCATTTCTATAGATGTGTGTTTCATTTTTATAGGTGTGATCAATATGTATGATTAAAAACAGAAGGAATCTAAATATTTCTCAACTTTGAATCAAAAGAATCAACAAATGTAAAAAACATCATGTCGGAAATATATCAAACATTTTTCGCGTTTTATACTTTTCTTTTCTCTCCACTGGTTATTTTACTATTAATATGTTTGTACCTATATCGCTGTATCATAGAGATCATTTTAAGGATTCAATTAAAGGATAAATTTGTGGGTCTCCTTGATGGGATGGACTGCATTTGGGCAGTAGAACAATCATCGGCACTTTCTGTGAATAATATCCTTATGATTTTAGAAAAAGATGCTCGTCACTCGAACATCAACTTCTTGGAGAATTTTCGTGATTTGGTGAAGAATCGTATAGTATGTTCGTCTTTTGAAAAGCTATTGTATAAAAGAAAAAGAAAATTTGGCTATTACTTCTGGGAGAGAAGTGAAGAGATCGATCTGAGAGAACGTATAAGATGGTTGGAATACGAACGCACGAATTGCGACGGATCCTGTGATAATATTTACAATAGTCATCTGAAAAAAGTTCTATGGAATATTTGTAATCAGCCTTTACCGGAGAATCACACAGCATCCTGGGAGATCTTAATTGGAAAATGTTGCCCCAGATTAAGTCATCATTATCTTCGACGAATGGAGGAACGTTTGACGAATAAAATTAAGATTCCCATTTTATTTCGTGTCCATCATTCTTTAGGCGATGGTATGGCTCTTCTAAAGTTCTTTAGAGATGTTATTATTGATAAAGAACCAGTTTCGGAAATATTCTTGCAGTTGGATAACAGTTTGAAAATGAAGAACGAGAAAACAAAAAAGCAGAATGTAATAGTATCTTTGATGAATCCTGCGAATGGAGAGAATAATTTGGACAGTAATTCATTTCAAAAGAAAATCATGTCGGCATCGATGCCATTTATTCATTTTACGATGTTTTCATATTTTTTTCTATTATTATGGGAACATTTTAATATATGGTTGAAATATTTACAAAATATTACTTTAGAAGACTTGAAATGCGAAATGAAAATGTTTCTAAGAATAGAACAAGATAAATTAAAAGTTTTCTTCTCGGAAATGATTTGTAAAAAGATACAGAAAGGTTTAAAAATGGCAAAAATTATTATAAATCTTCCTGGTTGCCTGATTCAACAAGCTTTTCGTAGCATGGACAAAAGGTTTGTTTGTCCAGTTTTTAATTCTTTTTTTTATGTATCAATTTTTCACAATTAAGAATATTAAATGTTTTATTTTAGCGCACTCCATGGAGCAGAATTATCAGGTGAAAAGTTTGTTTCTTACTGGCTTGAAGACGATTTCAAAAATGCCTGCAATCAAAAATTGTTTACAAAAATACAGAATATAAGAAGTATCACTGGTGCTAGATTTGGAGATGTATTATTAGCTGCTTTATCAGTCAGTTTACATAAATATTTCCTTAATGTAAGTAATTATATATTTTTTATTTGTATTTAAATTTTATTATTATATATATATTTATTATTATATATATATTTATTATTATATATATATTTATTATTATATATATATTTCAAATGTCTTCTTTTTTAATTTCATTTTTACAGATAAACGAATTCGTTCCAACAAAATTAAGCGTTGTTTTGCCGATGAAAATCGAAGAATGGAGTGAGAACTTCCCCTTGAAAAATAATATTTCAGTTGGTATACTGCCCCTCTGCATTTCACAGATAAAGGGTAAACAGCTTGCAGATCCACGAGAGAATTCTCAAATTCTAGAACGCCTTGAAGATATTAGAAAAGCGAATGATGTGCTTAGAAAAAGTCCAGATTACACGGTGAATTTCTTAGTAATGAAGTATCTCTCAGCTATGCTACCCGACAAATTTTTACGACCAATCTTAAAAAGTCATAGTACTATGGTGTTTAGCAATTTAGTTGGTCCTCAAGAAGTGAAACTTTTGGGACATCCTTTAAAAAATATTGTTTTTTGGATACCAAACAGGTAACTTTTTTTATATTTTTTTTTTATTACATATTATTCGCTTCTTCTTTATTTAATATTCTTTATTTAATATTTTAGCAAAAATATTTCAATGGCTGTAAATATTTAATTTTTTTATCATTATATCATTTTTTTAGAAGTTATACAGGAATTGGATGTTCGTTATTAACATATCGAGGTTATTTGCATTTATCTTTGATTGCCGATAAAGCTTTAGTACAAAGCGAAAAGGCTCTTACCAAAATTTTAGAAAACACGGTAAATGAAATCGACAATCTTTATGACAGATTAACTTTGTCATTTTTTTCGAAGAAACTTCATAGAAGTATATCAACACCTACGAAGAAAGGTAGGTCAATTGAAAGGAATTTGATAAAGAAATATTGATATGTAATATTTTATATTTTCAGCAATCAGTGTATTATAAAATTGTGAAGAATATTTATATTTTTTTTTAATCTTTTTATCGTTTATTAATTTTTTTTTTTGAAATCAATTTTTATTTTATAAAAATTAAAACACAATCATTGTATTTTATCATAAAAAATTTATGTAAATAATGAATATTTGAGGTGAGACCCCAAATTATACTATTGATTTGTATTTTATACTATGTATAATTAAAAATTATATTTTCTTAAACATATACATTAATTAAATATTTTCTAAAATGTTCTATAAACTCTATATGAAGAATGAAATATATTATCAATTAATAATATATAATTTTCGATATAAGTTCATAAAAAACGATGCATATATATTGTACATAAATTATGATAAATTCAGAGGTTTTAACTTTAAGTATACTTTCAAAGAGAGATATTTAAAGAAACCATTATAAAAATTCATTTTTTAGAAACTTGTTAACAATATCATGTTCTTAAACATGATTTTTTTTTTTTTTTAATAAAAAAAAAAATAAGCTTTCACCGATTTGTTTTCAGAAATAGATAAGGCCAAAAAACAATATCAAAAAGAGTGTTAAAAAAGGAAAAACTTGTTCGTCGACGATGAGAAATTTTCGGAGTTGTGTGTATTATCGAACTTGCTTTAATACGCTGATTCAGAATATTCTTCGATTTATATCGAATTTTTCTTCCTTTTTTACTGCAATCAGATGAAACATCCATATCTTCGGTACTTGTATAAACATACTTTCGATGTTTCAACGACCTGTTGATAATCATGTGCAATCATTATAATATTCATTTTTTTCACTCTTACAGTTTCAAGTAAATATTATCTCAACCATTTTTTCTTTCTAATTTCTTCCGGAGATGAACTCTTTAAATCGCTGTCATCTTCTTGTCGAATGCTCAAAGGCAGAGTTTGTTCGGTACATGATCTACAAGGACAGTTTAGTTTCAAACTTCGTAAGATCGTTAAAACACGGGGATCATCGATGCTGCTAAAAAGAGGGGATTCGTCGGTCGACGTCATTCCATGACATTCTTCATCCGCCTCTAACGTCGAAGTCTCATCTTTGTTCCAAACTATTCTGAATAAAATGCAATGCTCCTGAATACATTAATGTATCTTTTTTCAAATAGATTTCTACGTTTATCACGCGTACTTTGTTTCTTTTGGTATTTCGCAATCAAAACGAACCACATCTTTTTTACTTTCTTCTTTACAGCATCCTTTTTTCATCTCGTTGTCCGTGATCTCAATACTTTAAATTGATGTTTAAGTGTTATGATAAATTTTTAGCGATAATCAGTATTATTATTTCTTATTTGCATAACTAACATGTCGATACCAGTCGTCGGATGTTTCAAGTGAAGAGATTCCTTTATTTTCAACTTGGTCTATCGTGTAAATAATTCGTTATTGTTCAAGCTGTTTATGTTAATTCATTATATTATATATATTAACTGACTTTTATTTTTAATTAAAATATACTACCGCATGGGATTCATGAAGCGTATGAGCCGGAAAAATAGTAATCTTCGCGCGAGGAATTTTACTGCATTTGACTGTGATTGGTGACTTTGTTGCAACACATTCGAAATCATCTAATTTCGGATTTTTTATTTTCTCCTCTATAATTTCACTATCGTTATCATTCTCGGTCGCCTCTATCGTTGTATCCTTGTACGAAATAATTTTATCATTCATTAGTAATAAATTCTTCTAAAGATAATGAAATTCTATTTCATTACAATAAAATAAAACGATTTTCTTAAACCTTTAAATAAGTAGTTGAAAAAAAAAATTAAATTTAAATTTAAAATAAAGAAATATATGATATATAAATGATGAATCAATTTTACGAATCGTCATCTGTTCAAAAACGAAATTTTAAATAAAAAGAAGAAAAAGTACGAACCTTCAATATGTTTGACAAATCGTCGATAGTATCATTGATAATATCTTCTTTTTCATCGACATGATCTTTGTCAAAATTATTAGAAGATCCAACCGTTTTGTTCGCTGGATTCCCGGTTTTACTACCAGGCAATCGCATACCTTTTTTTTGGACCAACGGTTTCGTTTTGAAATCCTGTGATCTTTTCTGAAAATTCTTTCTTGGCTTAATTCGTTTTTTTAAAGTTCTCTTTTTAAGCAGGACTCCACTAACCATCGCCCCACGACCGAGTTTCTTATAATCAATCAAACTCGGTACATCCGGTTGACTGATCGCAGCATCGTAATCATATGTTATATGAGGTCTTGGTCCGCGATTTTTTGGATTGATACGCGGGCTATGAAGTCGTTTGCTGGCCGACGTGTCGTGATTCCCACGTTGTGATCTAGCGCTCATTTTTTTTTCAACATTATTAAAATTCCATCTGAAATAAATTAACATTTCATCATTGTTAATATCATATTTTTGTAAATATAATTTTTGAGAAGCATTGGAAAAATGAATTTCATCAAGCATTTTAACCTACACAGAAGCTAATGGTTTACTCGCAGGAGGTTCTATTTTCTTCCTCGCGCTTTTGCGAGGCTTCAGTCTATTCCAGAATTTTAAAATCGCCTTTGTAGATTTTTGTTCAATCCTTTTCAATGTTAAACTGTTCTGATTGATAGGATTTATGAGTTCGGCTTGTTTATCGCCCCATTTTGATTCTATTTTTCGCGTCTGCGACACAGGCGATATGGAGTGACTGGATTGACGACGAAAATGCGACTGAAACCGAAAGCGCGTTTTCTTGAGATTCGCCAGTATTCTCGGTACTTGAGTTCACATTTTCCGGATATACGGATAAAGTTTGATGGATATTTTTCCTGTTACGTGACTTGAGACTTGTGGTTAAACAAGAGAGCACCTATTTTATGACATTCCAATGCTAACTCGTTAATCGCTATGTAAACGAATTATTAATAAGATAAATATCGAAAAATATGATACAATTTAAATTTTTCTATTTCTAAATTTTATTCTCATTTACTGTGAAAAAATGTTTTCTAAAAAATGTATCTAAAAAAATGTTTTCTCGGTATTTTCTTATAATAAATTTTAATTTTAAACTAACTTTATCGTAATGTATATATTACACATTTTATATATTACTTATATATTACTTATTATTATAATAAGCGAAAACTCACAGAACAATATTAATATTAATGATTAATACTGTTCGATGTGTAAAAACTTATTATCTTAATATCGGTTTATGCAAAAGAATATGAAAAACAAATCTTGAAATTTTCTCATAAGTCAAAAACATTAATGCTGCCGTCAGAATAGTTTGCAATAATTTGGCTTCCATTCCTTTGTACAATCCTATTATTCCTTGTTTTCTGTAAATAAGAATTCAAATATAGCATTAAATATAAATATATATTTAATAAGATTTATTAGATATTACTTACTTTAATATGTAAAATAGAATTTCTAAAATGCCAGCGTTTGGTGGTAGATTTGGATATTTATGACCATGCTAAAATTAAAATCATATCATATAAATAATATTTATAAAAATTAATGATTTATATTTATAAAGAAAATATATAATACGCACTCTCAGTTTCGTTTGAACTAATTGCAATGGATAAGTTAATACGGTTGCTACCGCTTTCGCTACGGCACCAATAATAAAAAAAACCCATGCAGATGGTTGTGCATCATTTAGAGATATGCAAATTTTTCTCTTAATAGCCTCATAAGTCATGAATTGAATAGCTGGATTTATGATTAACATTAAGCTTGGCAAAGTCCCTGCCCAAAGACTTTTTATTCCTTCGTATTTCCATATATGTATAAGGCCAGCTAAATATATAATACGTGTAAAATTATTAATTTATTTCAAGTAGAATGTTTTCACAAAGTAAATTCATATTTATGAAAATGAATTCCGATACTTATTTCCCGTACGTCAAAAGTTAGACATTGTACTTTACTTAATCATGTGATAAGATTCTACATATTTCTTATTTATTTTACTGATATTGATTTTACTGATATTATTCATCTATGTAATTTTAAAACTTACCATATAACGTATTATATTTGTTATTGTTATTTCTTTCCGGTGTACGATCGATACCTCTCATTTTCAATCTAGTATTTACCACCCATAATGGTGTCGTTGTTAGAACATTAATTGCGCCTAAAAAAAATAATTTTTAACTAATAGAATCTCAAATAATAATTATTTTTTTGTTACGTTTTACCTGCGATTGATGCAAGAAATAAATCATTTCCAGCTGATTGCTTTCTTTGCGATTTAAGCATTTTTAAACCGTGGAATGTATAGAAGTAAACGAAATTACTGGCACACAAACTTTGAAGAACAGGTATAATTCCTCTATATAAAGTTTCTCTGTGTAAAGAATGTAAATTTTGTAATATGGATACAAAGTATTATTATTTTAACAAGTTGTTAAAATAATACAAGTTGAAGTGTATATACGTTGTAAAATAAAAAAAACTCACGGTCCTTCTTTTTCGACGAGATCGCGTATTGTTGCCAATGTACTTTTCGATTTTCTATCTTCTTCCACTACAAAAAAGAAAAATTGATTTTTAAACTACGTTGTAACCAACTTAAGATAAAGTACTTATATTTCAACAAAATATAAATATATTTTTTACATAATATATTTTGTATACAATATAATCAGTTGATGACATGAAAGTTAATCTAATTTTTTATGCTACAAACGGTTGTAAGTATTCTAATCTATCGTTTTTATTTATTGATTATTTTCAATAATATTTATTCAATGTATATATAAAAATATAATATGATTTTTATTACAGAATGTTTTTTTATATTTTTAAAATAAATATATAAAAAATTTAATGATTCAATATAACTTACGTTGTAATCTGCTTCGTACTGTATCTAGAGGGAAGAACATTGCCATGGCAACGACACCACCCTGAAAATATTAAAAATTAAATTATAAATTATTAATAAGCTTTTTAATTTTTTAAAACTTGTTTATTTGTTATTTTTTTAAACTTACAGCAGCACCAGATATTGCGTGAACTAGTGTTTCATAACTGAAAATGTTTCTATTGTGTTTTCTACCACCCATTATTAAGAGTCGATTTCAAAAATTTATTTATTACAATAAAATGTATTCGAATTTCGATGTCACAAGATCGATAATTATCCTACAAACATATTTGAAATCTTTAATTTTATAAAATATTAAAAAAAAAACATAATTATTATTATATTTCAAAAGATATCACGATAACATTTTTTAATCCCTCAAAATATTTATCAATCAAAAGATTAATGTGATTAATATGATTAAGATTAAAGATTAAAGATTAATATGAAATTAATTCAATAATTAAATATAATTATTATAATATAACACAATCCAATATAAAATATAAATTTTCGTTTTCATTTTTAATTTTTAACAATCTCAAAATTATTATTTATTCGATAATATTGTTGATATTTTTTATCGATATTTTTGATCAATTTTAAAAATTCAATGAAATTTAACTCAATTACCACCGTCGATAACATAACACAACATACGCGGCAGATTAATAACGAAAACAATTACCGTATAAATAAAAATCGAAGAATATTTCAATATAACAATTCTTAGCACTTGTCACTCTCATTGTATATCATTTATAAATTTTGATTCGACGAAAAATCACGTCTTTGCTCGACAAGAGACATGTTAACACTGGCAAAGAAAAATTCCGAAGAATTCGTAAACTCGTATCGTCCACGTGCCTATCATGTACACTCGTTACTCAAGAATGGCCGTCCTATGGCCGTATGTATGCGCGGTTAGTTTTTACGTTCTTTTATATATGCGAATGAATATTTCAATCTTGATTACGACGAACGATGCGACACGACTTGATTAGCGGCTCAAAGCCTAAGTTCAATGTAAAGTTTTTGCTCGATCCATCTCGAACTATACGCGTCCGATAAAATTACTGTGGTGATAATGGATTCCTTGTGGATAATACGCTTGCGCATATTTCGTGCTTGCGGTTACATCAATGGTTCGAGAGGTCGATTTTCTGAGCGCAGGCGTGATTATAAATTCTATCTCACCTGTATATATATTCTTTGATTCAAATTTATTTTTATTAATTGAAATATCGTACATTAAAACTTTGAATTTATTTTGATTAGCTAATATTCATTTTTTATTTGAATCATAAATTATAATTTAAATCTTGATAAATATAAGAAAATTTCAATTAAAGGATAAATTTTATTTAATATTTTTTATTTATACTATCACCGATTATTCAAATTCACTGATAAATTCATATTCGTACATTCCAATTTATATAAAAATAATTTAATTTAATAATCTAATTCATAATTTGAATATGGAAAGAAATATAGGAATGATATTATAAATGAATCTTTTCTATATTTTTTGATTTCGCAAATAAAATATATATTTATACATATTAAAGTATAAATATATATATCTATTTCATAAAATATTTTATGAATAAATAAAAATGAATTATTACATATGAATCTTTCGCAAAAAATATATTAATATTAATAATGTCTAATTAAATGATAAATGGACGAGAATGTAAAGAAATAAAAATTCTTAATAAGGGATCAAGTTATAATCAATAATCAATGAGAGATCCTCGCCTTTTTTCTAATAAAATAATTCATTCGATTCCCTGATGTGTTATCACTGCGGAGTAGCGAAGAATTTTAGATAGAGATCATTCATCGTGCGAAATTTCGCAGCTCGTTTTTATGGTTATGCCGCTCTTCAAGATATCTCCTATTTATTTCCCTCTCTTGGGTATTCTCATGCTGGCTGTTCGTTAGAACCAACTGTTCTCGAATTTCCTTGTAGGATAAAATCCTTCCAGATTCACGCGTTGCACAGTTCCCATGAGCGTTTGTCCCTGCAATCATATGAAAAGTGATTTCCAACTCGCTCTCTTTCCTTTGCTCTTCTTGTGCGAGAAAATATTTTCGAATCGCTCGAAGCGAAGATAAAAATCGAAAAATAATTTGACTTTTGAGATTGACAATTAATAGAAATTATTATCGAGAAATATAAGATATCACGATATATTTTCTTTGAGAGAGGAGAAATATTTTTTTGTTTGTTACTGTCACATTTAATTAAAAATATTTTCTAAATAGATCTGTTAGTTTGAAATTAAAAACTTCAATTTTTAGAATGATATTAAAAGTTATTGGTTAAAAATATAGAAAATAGAGATTAAATTAATATTATGTATCGAAATGCATAAACAACTTTTTTACTAAGATAAGTATTATACGATTATAATGTTGCATTGATATTTCAAATCTGTTTTATAACGAAGTTAATAAAATAAATAATATTTGCAACTTTATCAAAATTGAATTGCGTATCTTAAAGAAACTACTACATTATGTATTTATATCCTATTTTTGTAATTACGCATAACTGAATCATGATTATCTTAAATTTATTAAAATTATAATTATAATTTGAAATTTTTTGATATTGCGCATTAAAAAAAAAAAAAAAATAAGACATCGAAAATCATTCGTGTTATAATAGTCGCATGAAATGTGATTGAAATTAAAATCATTTTGATCAGATTTGCAAATATCCTTGCTTTGATAATATATGTTGATCTTATGACTGATATATATATATATCGCTAGAAAAAAAATTGTCATTCTGTAAATCCTTAGATTATCATTTTATAATATACTATTTTAATTATGCAGTTATGTTTTTTAAATTGAAAATTAACGATATGATTATTCATTTTCGTTTGATTATGTGTACTTCTTTCGTATTAATGTCATATTATTTATTTACTTTTACTTATATTTTTTTTCATTAATTTTCGAGTTTTATTGAATTCTACAGTTCTAGAATTCTATTTTTCCGTAGAATGTATATGTAAATATGAATTTACATTTCCTTCATTATAAGCA